GCAGTTGTTTTCTACTTAATGAAGTCTGTAAACGCCACTTTCCTTCCCATTATTTGCATGGACATAAATCGTAATTTCTTCAACATTTCGAAATCTGCAGCTCATTGACTGCTTTGCTCAGCATTCAAAAGGTGACAGGTATGCCAACTAAAGAAGCATAAATCAACACCAAAAATGCAATCAAGACAGCTACGCAAACATGTCAGCCCCCATTAAGCTTTCAAGCTCACCTCAAGCCTCCATGGTTGACTGATGTGGCTGGCTCATGATGGATTAGCAGACCAAACAACAAAATCTGGCTGATGACTTTCTCAAACGGCGAATGAGCACCTTGTTGTTTGAATTCAAACACGTCGGATTAGGTGGCAGAGAGGGGGCGGAGCTCGGCGGATTCAGCAGTGAGCTGGTTGACAGGTGAGCCAATCATTAACTAAAGCATTCTCTGCAAAGGATCAGTTAATTTTACTGAGATTAGACGTCAGACGATCAACTGTTTTTATTTGATTCAACTACTGACTCATGTTTATGAATTATAACAGATGAGACAGGATCCATATTTAGAGAGTACTCTATTTCACTGGGTAAAAAAAGGAAAGAAAACCTTATCTGCTCATAGTCCACAAAATGTCCACTTAAACATTAACTGGAAACAAAAATAAGGTTTTCCTTGTGAAGTGTGGGAGAGGTAGTTAATACTTTACTCAGAGGTTTGTTTTCTGGTTTAAAGGGATTTAAAGATGATGAGAATCCCTTGGAGCACAGGAAGATAATGTAATTACAAATTTAAAATATGGCCTAAAACACAAATTACTTCATTGTAAGCCACCTTCAAGGGAAAAATCCTACTTTTTGAAGTGAGGCTCTTGTCAGGGATCCGCAGAAGAGAGACTTCATGTGTTAAACCGCAGTTAATAAAATATTCAGTGTAAATGATTAACGTTCGACATTTTGGGAAGGGTTTCACTAAGAGACCCAAAGCGACAACATGTTTGCCTCTCCATGACAAAACACCTCCCTCTCTGACCACAAGGCCATCGCTTCCCCCAATCTAAATATATATAAACTGCCTGACTGAGAAAAAAGTCTTAACTAAGTTAAGGGATGCCAGCCTCCAATTGGATAATCAAAGAATAGGCAATCATCTTTCAGCAATTTAACCCTGTGTTAATAAATGGAAAATGTTTAAAAAGGGTCAAACCACTGGCCTACATCAAGAAGAGAGACAGCAGAAACTAGAGACAGAGCGATACTTTGCCCTGATGATGTTTTTGGCTGATATTTTTTCTTATTTCGCTGTATACATGCACCTTTTCAGATTCATTAGCGCATTCAGCAGCCATGCCAGAAAATCATGTAAAGTGCATTAATTGCCATTCCCTCCATTTACCATCCATTGTTAATGTTTCTTTGGTTTGTAAAATAATTATTCTTCTTTTGTTTAAATTGAGGTGTTGGTAACATTTATTGAAATGTTAGTTTGAAATGTGTTAAATGGAGGAAAAGAGGTTAATACTGGTGTAAAACACAACCAGCCTAGAAAAGATTGACAGCATAAATCTGGGATTGGTTAAACTGTTGTCATAATAATTAGAATTTGCATTGGCCTAGAATAAAAAAAAAAAAAAAACAGTATTGGTAATTTTTTTGTCAGAAACGGCTAAAACTGGATTAGGAATTGTAAAAGCATTTAAAACCAGGCACATCGTGGGGATCTATGAGGAGAAATGTGTTCAGAAAAAGTCTTGAAATGATCGTGATTGGCCAAATCCAGTCAAAAAAAACAAAAGCAGAACTCAAGGCTCTGTTTAATGGTGAAAGGACACAGAATGGGAAACAAACTAAAGGGATTGGGACTGAAGACTCCTACTCAGTTAAGCTAACTGGGGAAGTAAGGCTATGATTTGTTAAGGAAGATAAAGATTGGAATTTGGAGCAATGGAGGATCATGTGGTCCAGATTTCCCCTGGTCCAGAGAGATGGGAGCAACAAAACCTTTTTCTTTTACTGCTAATGTCATTAGAGACTTTGAGGCCTATAAACAGCAAGTTGTTCAGAAATGCTCCTTTTTTTATTTACACCCAAAACTGTAATTCTGTTGTATTTCATTATTACTTTGGAATATGTCCATGGGCGGTTCTAGATAGGGGCCAACATGGGCCAGGGCCTCTGTAGAGCCAGTCCTGATCCCTTCTATGGCCATGGATTGGTAGAGAAACAGTAACTACTTCATCCCCTAGATTAATTTCCTTTTTTATCATTACAATTTTAATTTAAAGATGGCTTAATAAACTGCTTCCTTTCAACTTCACCGGTATTGTGATAAGATCACTGTTTTCATCTGGTAGGGTAGAACCTGTAGCTCCAGAGACAAAAGTACTTGATATACACTATATTGCCAAAAGTATTTGCTCACCTGCCTTGACTCACATATGAGCTTAAGTGACATCCCGTTCCTAATCCATAGGGTTCAATATGACGTCGGTCCACCCTTTGCAGCTAGAACAGCTTCAACTCTTCTGGGAAGGCTGTCCACAAGGTTTAGGAGTGTGTTTATGGGAATTTTTGACCATTCTTCCAGAAGCGCATTTGTGAGGTCGCACACTGATGTTGGACGAGAAGGCCTGGCTCTCAGTCTCCGCTCTAATTCATCCCAAAGGTGTTCTATCGGGTTGAGGTCAGGACTCTGTGCAGGCCAGTCAAGTTCATCCACACCAGACTCTGTCATCCATGTCTTTATGGACCTTGCTTTGTGCACTGGTGCACAGTCATGTTGGAAGAGGAAGGGGCCAGCTCCAAACTGTTCCCACAAAGTTGGGAGCATGGAATTGTCCAAAATGTCTTGGGATGCTGAAGCATTCAGAGTTCCTTTCACTGGAACTAAGGGGCCAAGCCCAGCTCCTGAAAAACAACCCCACACCATAATCCCCCCTCCACCAAACTTTACACTTGGCACAATGCAGTCAGACAAGTACCGTTCTCCTGGCAACCGCCAAACCCAGACCCGTCCATCAGATTGCCAGATGGAGAAGCGCGATTCGTCACTCCAGAGAACGCGTCTCCACTGCTCTAGAGTCCAGTGGCGGCGTGCTTTACACCACCGCATCCGACGCTTTGCATTGCACTTGGTGATGTATGGCTTGGATGCAGCTGCTCGACCATGGAAACCCATTCCATGAAGCTCTCTGCGCACTGTTCTTGAGCTAATCTGAAGGCCACATGAAGTTTGGAGGTCTGTAGTGATTGACTCTGCAGAAAGTTGGCGACCTCTTCGCACTATGCGCGTCAGCATCCGCTGACCCCGCTCCGTCAGTTTACGTGGCCTACCACTTCGTGGCTGAGTTGCTGTCGTTCCCAAACACTTCCATTTTCTTATAATACAGCTGACAGTTGACTGTGGAATATTTAGGAGCGAGGAAATTTCACGACTGGATTTGTTGCACAGGTGGCATCCTATCACAGTTCCACGCTGGAATTCACTGAGCTCCTGAGAGCGACCCATTCTTTCACAAATGTTTGTAAAAACAGTCTGCATGCCTAGGTGCTTGAATTTATACACCTGTGGCCATGGAAGTGATTGGAACACCTGATTCCAATAATTTGGATGGGTGAGCAAATACTTTTGGCAATATAGTGTATAAAACATTGAATTATTGCCCTTATTATTGTTTTATTATTCTGTTCTGTGCCCCTGTGAAAAAAAGACATTCTTTTAGGAGAGTTTGTTTTAAGGCCACTTTTTTTATTTTCTATTATCATATTTTAGTTCTCTGAGACAAGCTGTCTTATTACCAGATATCTTAGCTCACCCATAATTGTTTTCTTCTATTGCTAAAAACAGAAATTCGGAAGAATTCCTTTAAGAAAAAAGGTTTGTGGCCGTCCCCTACAGGTATTCAGTTTGTTGCCTTGTATCTGAGGCACGCTGGACGCGGCTTTACTCGGCTAAATGTGATCAGGCTACAAGTGGAACATTGGGAGTGAGTCAGAGTACAGGGAGCACAGGGGGAGTGAATAGCAGCGGTTAGTTTGATTTGAAGCTTGGGGCAGTTTCCTGGATTCCTGGGTTCTCTCTCTCTCTGGACGAGCTAACAGGTCAATGACCTGCCCACTGGTCTAAAGTATGACTCACTTATCGGCCTCCCTCCCATGCAGACCACTCCTTCCACTTCCACAGCTTGTGAACACCCACAGACATACAATATACAAAGTCTATGCTTCAGACTGTCATATTTTTCCTCCGTTCGTTTTAAAGACCTCATTATGATCCAAGACCCAAGAATCATTAGAAATAACTACTAGGGGTGAATTAGTATTCTGCTGGCTGAGCTGCAGCCGCCTTCAGAGGTTAGAGGCTATTAGAATGTCCGACAGAAACACGGGAGTGGGCAGAGGTCCGATCTCCCCTCAGAGAATCAGGATTGATGGAGCTGATTTGACATCATATCTACAAAAGGAAGTGATAGTAGTATTAATGTTATTCAGATGGCTGTGACTGTGAGGGGGGAAACAGGAAAAGATCACTCACCTAAGGGCTTCCTCTGGGGGATAAAGATGGTTATAATTCAATAGACTGCCTTTAAGCTCAACAATGTCTGTTTAGAAGGAATCCAGGCTGACATAATGACCCATACCTGTGAACCTGCACCACCTCCTGCAGCCCAACAAACCACATTAACTCCTATTATCCTGCACAGGCCAAACCGGTTTTACGGTTAGGATAACATTCCAGACAGGCCTGTTCTCTCACAAACCTCTTTGGGAAATACTGAAATCCTTTTCACCTACGCCGTATTGGGAAAGACGAAGAATGCACTGAACTATTTAACTCAGTGGAGCAACAAGCTGATTTAATGGCAGTGAGAAGTATCCAAAGAGAAATCCAAATTCAGCAAGAAATATTTATTTTCTGTATTTACAGAAAAGCAAATTCAGACACCTTTTTAGCTTATTTAAAGTCCAAAGCTGTGAAAATGAGACTAAATGAAGTAGTGGCACTGTACCTGCATGGAGCATGGTAAAAAGGATATCCAGGGTGAGGTATGTGGTTGCAGTAGCTCGACTGATTCCACATGATGCTCCTGTTCCAAGTAACGATAGTTCACAAGTGCTCAGGATGTTTCCTCTATTTCTAGTGCTGTGGAATGAGACTCCGGCTGCCTGGAGGCACGTTAATCAGCGCCACTTGTTTTGAATTTCGATCGGCTCCATGAGAAGAGAGCTAGAGGTGTCGACGGGTTTGAAGGCAGACGCGACGAGGTGAGAGCGTGAGCCGCGGTGCTGAATCCAGCCAGGGATGAGATGATGTCGGTGAGTCAGGTCTGGACACCTGGAAACGACTCGTCTTGCTCAGCAGAGTCTGGGAGGACCGCCTCAGGAGAGGTGTGAAATCATAGGTTACTGCCTTCGTCCTGCAAGCAGCCAGTCATTTCCCCTTACCTTCCAGGTGCAGTCAGGATACTGGATGCCTCCGAGACCATGTGATGAAGCATGTGTCATCACCTGAAGTCATTCAAAACAAACCAGAGTTTTCAGCTAACAGGCGTAGATTCCCATCCGACAGACTTCAAGATAAACCAGAGCTTTTTTTAATAGTCTCTGACATCAATTACGAGCAGTTTATACCATCTTCTCAACAAGTCTTCTCTCTCTAAACTTCCCAGGTGACACAGCCCGTCTCTCAATGATACCAGTATGTAAAATCCACAGGGTTCCTCTACTGCATCCACCTTTCCTCTGAAACAGCTGCCGCCGTCACAAGCGTTTATTCTCCAGATTACAGGATCTCCCGTCGGCAGCGGCAGTGAACAGAGCTGATCAACTGAGCGCAGAAACAGAAAGGAAGGGAGAGGGAGAGAAAGGCAGGATATGGCAGCGGGAGAGAGAATCAACCAGGAGAGAGAGAGAAAGAGAGAGCAACGAGGAAGAGGTTATCAAAACGGGGCTGCGTTTTCTTTTCCCGCGAAACAGTCATCTAGCAGGATACACACTGCTGGAGGGGGGGTGTGCACTAAGGCTAGATTATACCAAAAACAGAAGAACGTATTGCTATGTAAATGTTGCCACCTTTAAATGATCACTAATGGTGACCTCTTTACAAAAAAACAACAAAAAAAAACATTTTACACTGTCCCAAACTAGAGGGACAGTGTAAGAGGAAAATGCCCTCTGTAAATGACAGACTGGTTAGTAAAGTTTGTTTGGGTTAAGTTACACATGTTTAACAGAACTTACTGACAAGCTCTTCTAATATGATATCATCATCATAATATCTCAGCTGTTCAGGGAACCACGTCTCTAAATGACAAGGCTGTGTGCATGAACCTGACTGAAGGAGCAGGTGATCAGCAACTTTAGGTTGGGTTTATACAGGAAATTCCTAGCAACTCAAAAGTAAGAATAGTCTTATGCAGGAAGTTACCAAGTGCCAATGTTTAAAAAGATATTAGAGTCTAATAGGGCGGCTGGAAGTAATACAGCTTGATACACCAGATACAGCATTGGGACTTGCTCAACAGCCGGCCGTGACGTCACAAACCGGTAGGTAGCAGTAGTGTTCTTTGACAAACATGGATGTCTCCTTTAAAGCACATTCAGAGGAAATTACTGTTAACTAAAAACACTTATCATTTATTGAAAAGTATGTAATAATACCATACTTTTGTACTTTCAGATGTTGTTATTCTAAAAATGATAGGACGTTTCCTTTAATGGAAAGATTTCTGTCAGATTAAGGACAGGGATGTTGCGATCCGATGTCTGCATAGAAAAATTGGTCCATTATCAGCAAAAAAAAAATAAAAAATATATATATATATATATATATATATATATATATATATATATATATATATATATATATATATATATATATATATATATATATATATCAAACCACATCCACCTGCATGTAAAACCTCGTATATAAACCAGCTAATCGTATCGGAAATTTAAAAGCTGTACGTCCCAATACAGCGATACTATTATTGCAGCACAGATTCTGATGATACAGATATTGACCCAATACGATAAGACATGAATAATGAATAATCTTAATACTTATGTTATTGTGTAGCATATTAGAAAATGTATGAGAACAACTGAGCCCTTTATCATTGACTGATCAGTTACATAATCTTTAAACTGAAGCAAAGTTGTTCTACCAGCTGGCAGGCTGATTTAATCCAATATTAGTTATATGGTTTATAACAAACCAACTTCAGATATCGGCCAATATTAATGCAATGCCTGTATAGTACTGGAAATGATAAAGTTGTATTGTGACATCCATAATTCATCCCATACACATTCAGTTATCCAGCTCATTCATTTGATCCGACTTAAATTCTTTGCGCCAAATTGTGATAGAATAAATTTTTTATCTAAATGCTTCAATATTGGTATCTTAGGTTTAAGCGGCATTTTTTCTTGGAGTCGCTGTTGTTAGATTTTAGATTTTTATTTTTCTTGCCCATATGAACAGCCATGGGGTACCAGCATATATATTAATACATTTGAGAAAATTATTATCAGTTTGTAGTACAAAAGTGAAAGATTAAAGTAATGATGATAATTTAAATTTCCTTCTTTCTTCTTAGAAACTGGGATTATTCATATCAACAGGAAAGCTATATTGTTCACTCACTGAGTAACCTCTGCAGAACCTTTTTTCAGCCACACCAGCTTTAATTTTATCTATCCAGACATCTTTAATATATCCTTAATAGGCAGGAAGAAGCCTTATAAGTCATAAATTATTTTTTTTATCCCTCAATTATCTAGTGAATGATGAGGACTTGTTTAATGCTGCTCAGAAGTCTCGGTGGTTAATAAGTAATGTTTTGCGGCTAAATATCACCTTCAGCTGGAGCCACATCACGACTCATCCCTCTTAGTTATCAGCAAAGTTATTTATTTATATTCAACCTGTCTGGCTTTCTTAGTATGCATATAACATGAAACGGTTGATTGTAGCCCACTGGTCAGGGAAGTAATTGATTTTCATTGTGTTCTGAATTGTGACTAATAGCATTTCAACTATATGATGAATTTGTATTTAGTTTAGATAAAAATCTCCAAACAAAAGGACTTGACATTTCTCTACAAACTGAACCTGTTTTCCATTTTGTATGTTGTTTTTTTACACCAAATAATCTCTTCTCAGTTTAACAAAGACTGGCTGCTAAAAATAACCATATAATCTTGCCCAAAGCTAACTCACCAGAAAAAGAAAGAAAAAAAAATGAAGGACAATGGCTTACTTCACTGGCATCCTTTTAGCTAACTGATAAAGTCTTGTTTGCTGCGTGAAAATGCACAGTTTCAAGCATGAAAAGACATTCATGAAATATCTAAAGTTGATAAAAACAAATTCAGCTGACTGGTGACCAGCAATTCAAACATTACAGGATCTAATAAGCTCAACATACCAAAGCACAACCACATCCCTTCAATAACAAACGAGGTCCAAAGCTTTTTTTGTTAGCAGAGAGGTGTTAAGAATTACGTAGAAGAAACCAAGGATATGCAGCTATTCAAGGTTCATCTGAGGTTCATTCAGGCTGTGTGAGAGAGCAAGCTTTTGAGAGGAAAACAGGAAGGCTAAAGTTCTGGGGGAAAGCTGTTCTGTTTATCAGGTAGACCTTAAATTTATGGCTATCTGGGAACAAAATGGGTTTTCAAATGTTGGCCGCCTTTCGTCCCAACACTCAAATTTAGAACTCGATACTGGGGAAACAAAAACAAGAATCAACACCTAAAACCATTTTAGATATTTTAATTGAAATGTATCTAAATAATAACGATTTAGAACATAAACTTAACTTGAAATGTCTTAAGTGTTGGCCTAGTGGGTTAGAGCAGTGCGCTTGTGCTCTGACAAGTTTTCAAGTACCCAGTTTGATTCCCAAAGCCTCCACTCTGGCTCCCTGAGCAAGGCCCTTAACCCCTGATTGCTCCCCAGGCGCCACGCATTAAAGGGATTTACATTAACTAGGGCAGGAACATCTGCAATAATGTTTGAAATACTTGTACCGAAGCTTTTCATTAAGACTTATTTTATTATATATTTTTGGGTGAAATTTGGTTCTAAAACCCTTTGGGCTCAACCGGTTTCAATCTAAGCCAAACTGGGGAGTCGACTGCTGTTGCAATATGATGTTAAATGAAACATTTTGTTTTGACCAGCGGAGGTCTGACCATCTAAAATCATGCAGCCACTAAAAACATTTTTACTATGAACTTTGTTGTGATCAAAGTAACAACATGAAAGTTCTTCAGTGATAAAGTATAACTAATGCACAAATACGTGCAAAAAGTTATGTTTCATTCATCTTTCAAATCTTGCAGCATTTCACCAACTTACTCCCCGCTTGCATCACTATCCTGTGTGGATTAATAGACTAATGGTTCATGTGAAGGCCTGTGGCACTTTTGCAATCAAACTAGCTCTTCGTTCATTACAATTGATGATATACACAGGGTCTAAAATATGGAGAGAAAGAAATGTCTTTTAAAAAGAACAGAGGGGCTGCCTTTGCCCTTTTGCATTTGGTTGGTTCCTTTTATACTAAATAGAAATAGGACAGATTTTACAGCAAGAGGAGCAACATTTATACCTATAAAAAAAATCAACCTAATATAGGGATGTGTGTGGCATCAATTCAACTGGGTTTGCTTGGCTGGGGTAAGGGTGTGGCATGGTTGGGGTCAATTCAAATGACCTCTGCTGTTACTACTTGTGGAAATGTATTCAAAAAGCCTTAAGGACTATCATTATCTCTTGGTTAATTGGACTGGAGCAATACGTACTTTTAAGGAGTTGAGAATCCAGAAGGAGAAAGGCAGACAAAAGAAAGGAAAGATGGGTGGACCTAATGTGAGCGAGAGAAGGGAGAGAAGGAGGAAGAAAGTGAGGAGCAAGGGAGGGAGAAGAAAAAAAAGAAGGGGAGAGGTGTAAAAAAACAACGAGGTTGGCGTGTATATCCCTCACTGTTTTGTTGTAGAAATTTCAATCCAGCACAACCTTATCAGGGTAGAAAACACAGGGGACCCTGCTGCTGCTGCATCTTCTCTCTGTCTCTGTGTTTGTTATCCCTGTTTGAAGAGGCAGGTGGACACAATCCGCCCCCGCACAGACGCATTCAAACAAGAGCCGTGTTCCACATTTTCAGCAACGCCGTCTACAGAGGTGAGGAAAACTTAAAGGGACATTATTCCAGCTTACGCACATTCGAACACATGCAGACGAAGAGAGAACAATACCCCATACCACCACAGGAAAACAAGAATGGTCCAAACCAACAAACATGCACACAGCCTTCAGCATAGATGCAGAAGATGTCGCCTTGCAGACATTTGACAGCTGTGTTGAATCATTATGTCAGTGGGTGTGATGGCAAGAGTGCGATTGGGCCTGTGGTTCGGCTTATCTGGGTTTTACAGACTGAACCCCCATCGCAGCTGTTTTTAAAATGCACAAACACATTCTCCAAACACACCTTGACTGGCTAAAACCTGTTCAAGGTCACCGCTGAGCTTCCAGCTAAGAAAATCCGTTAAAAAAACACTTTTATTTTGCCCCCGGAGCAAATATGAACCAGCAGAGAGGGCAGATTAACCATTCAGTAACTCTAGATTTCCATTTCAAACTCTCATCTTGAAGATGATTTTGTATTTAAGATTGTTTTCTTCAGCAATTCCATGAAATGAAGGCAGACACAGCAACAATCACAAGACATTTCCATCAATCGTCTCCTTACTGACAGCTCTGAACATTAAAAAAACAGCATGACCAAAGTAAAAAGCT